ACTAGGGAGCAAGCATCTCTGCCTCTACAAGAGAGTGCAAACCAAGTAAACTGAATTAAAATCCAGGAAGGCTAGGTCTATAGTTTTTTGCTTTATTGTGTCTCAGAAGTGCCTTGCAATGATGGATGATAGGTAAACAGCTTTGAATAACAAAGAAAATTTTGCTATATTAAAAAATTGCCTTTGACAATGCCAAAGAATATGACTCATTAGTTGCCAAAGTTAAAAAGTTGCCACTAATAAAGCATAGAAAATTAAAAAAAAAAAAATCAGAATACTTTTCTAAGCTAAGGTATAAAGTTGTCTACTTATTTTCTTTAGACTCTGGGAAGAAGAGCATGGTGACAATCTTAAGTTAAACATAAACATACATATATATGCATGTGTGTGTGTGTGTTTGCGTGTGTATGTATAATTTAACTGAACTTGTACAAATTAGAGATTCACTGGAGTTACTAAATTTAAATTTTGAAACAAACAGATGGATGAAAAAAGAAAAATCCTCTTTAAGAGGGGTAACCGGTCCTCCACATCAACCAAAATTTGACAGGGCTTATTTAAAATAGTTCTTAATGTCTAAATGATATCAGCCCATTCCTCCAAAATGATAATTTTGAATGGTGAAAAAGAGAGTAAGGAAGAGCAATTTCCGGCAAACGTGGCTTTAAGTACAAAATTCCTCAATTCCAGGAGTGATCCAAAGGAGGTAATAAAAGTTTAGTTGAGCACAGAAAAAGGAGGAAGATGATTATTATAGGTAAATTTCCCCCCTTTTATTGATGAGCACTGGTGGGACAGTGGCTAAGGGCTTGGCTGCTAACCGAAAGGTCAGCGGTTGGAACCCACCAGCTGCTCCGTGGGGGAAAAATGTGGCAGCCTGCTTCCGTATAGATCACAGCCTTGGAAACTCCACGGGGCAGTTCTACTCTGTCCTATAGGGTCACTAGGAGTTGGAATCGACTCGATGGCAGTGGGCTTTGTTTGAGATTTTGGATAGAGCTACCTATGATTTTGACAGTAGTAAATGCCAGCATGACTCTGGAAAATTTATTTCAAACGCAGCATTTGTCTGTACTGATTTACTTGATATATATTTTTATAGTATTTGTTATATATGATTTATCATACCTATCACAAAATATTTATTAAATAATTGAAAAGTGAACGAATATGAGATTGTCATCAGTAATTAGGCTGTTGGCATGCTTTGGGAACTTGCTCAGAAGGAAGGTCTGGTGAGAGAAAAGGGCTCTGGAATTCACTGTAAAATAATAAAATCCACAACAGTCTCTGTCGCAAGGAAGAAATAAAGAAAAAAGATGCACAGGACCATGCTGTGTTT